AGAAGGAGCAAGATATTGGGTTGTTGTTTGCTTCTGGGAACAAATAATTAATGAGTATTCATTTTCGTTATAAACATTCAACCGGAAAGTAATTCCTTTATTTATTTACAGTACGAGGGTGGAATGAAAAGTAATGCCTCCACCTTCGTTACTTGGGTTTGGATGGGAATATTTTAATAAATCAAACGCAGAAATAATCCTTAGAATGTGCTCTTTAACTACCACTATTCACTTTTCCACATAATCACCATAATTGAAGACATCTGCCCTTGCGCTGTGCTACCCTGCTGCTGAGTATGCATGCCCAGTGTGGAACACATCTCACCATACTAAAACAGTGGATGTGGCTCTTAATGAGACATGCCGCATTGTCACGGGGTGTCTGCGCCCTACACCACTGGAGAAATTACACTGCTTAGCCGGTATTGCACCACCTGACATCCGCCGGGAAGTAGCAGCCAATAGTGAAAGGACCAAGGCAGTGACATCTCCAGCTCATCCCTTGTTTGGGTATCAGCCAGCACGTCAACGACTTAAATCAAGAACTAGTTTTCTTAGATCTACAGAGACACTCGCTGGAACACCTCAGCAAGCGAGAGTCCAAAAGTGGCAGGCTCAAACCCAGAACCTCAACCAATGGCTGATACCAAATGAGAGACTCCCCCCTGGGCACACAGAGACTGGGCGACTTGGAAGGCGCTGAACAGACTGCGCTCTGGCACCACGAGATGCAGAGCCAACCTTCAGAAATGGGTCCACAAAGTGGAATCCACGACATGCGAGTGTGGAGAAGAGCAAACACAGACCACCTGCTGCAATCCAACCTGAGCCCCGCCATATGCACAATGGAGGACCTTCTTGCGGCAACACCAGAGGCACTCCAAGTGGCCAGATACTGGTCAAAGGACATTTAATGCGAGAGTCCAAAAGTGGCAGGCTCAAACCCAGCACCTCAATCCATGGGTGATACCAAATGAGAGACTCCCCCCTGGGCACACAGAAGACTGGGCGACTTGGAAGGCATTGAACAGACTGCGCTCTGGCACCACGAGATGCAGAGCCAACCTTCAGAAATGGGGCTACAAAGTAGAATCCTCGACATGCGAGTGTGGAGAAGAGCAAACCACTGACCACCTGCTGCAATGCAACCTGAGCCCTGCCACATGCACAATGGAGGACCTTCTTGCAGCAACACCGGAGGCACTCCAAGTGGCCAGATACTGGTCAAAGGACATTTAACCAACTACCAAACTCACAAGTTTTGTATTTTTCTGTTTGTTTGCTTTGTTCTGTTAGAAATGTAATATAATGGACTGGTTGCTCTGACACGACAAATAAATACCATAATTGGGAGGGATAGCCAATACTCCAGAGGACAGGAGCAGGATTGAAAACAATCTTAGCAGATTAGAGAGATGATTGGCCAAAACTAACAAAATGAAGTTCAACAGGGACAAATGCAAGAGACTCCATTTAGGCAGAAAAAACGAAATGCAAAGATACAGAATGGGGGACGATGCCTGGCTCGAGAGCAGTACGTGTGAAAAAGACCTTGGAGTCCTCGTGGACAACAAGTTAAACATGAGCCAACAATGTGATGCAGCAGCAAAAAACAACCAACGGGATTTTGGCCTCTATAGTGTCTAGAATTCCGGGAAGTCATGCTCTCCATGCTCTATTCTGCCTTGGTTAGACCACACCTGGAATATTGTGTCCAATCCCGGGCACCACAATTCAAGAGAGATATTGACAAGCTGGAATGTGTCCAGAGGAGGGCGACTAAAATGATCCAAGGGTCTAGAGAACAAGCCCTATGAGGAGCGGCTTAAGGAGCTGGGCATGTTTAGCCTGAAGAAGAGAAGGATGAGAGATGATAGCTGAACTGACTGTGCTCTGGCACCACGAGATGCAGAGCCAACCTTAAGAAATGGGGCCACAAAGTGGAATCCACGACATGCGAGTGTGGAGAAGAGCCAACCACTGACCACCTGCTGCAATGCACCCTGAGCCTTGCCACATGCATAATGGAGGACCTTCTTGCGGCAACACCAGAGGCACTCCAAGTGGCCAGATACTGGTCAAAGGACATTTAATCAACTACCAAACTTGCAAATTTTGTGTTTTGTCTGTCTGTTTGTTTTTGTTCTGTTAGAAATGTAATACTATTGACTGGTTGCCCTGACACGACAAATAAAATAAAATAAATATGCCGTTCTGATAACAGCACACCTGGCGGGACCATCATAAAGTAACCGTTCCTTACACTTGCTTCTTTGTCTTCCTGAGCAGGTGGCTTATAACGGCCCCTTTTAATTGCTTTGCTTGGTGGCAACCAAATTAGGGCTGCATTGGGTCAACAGGATATTGCTTTTGTTTCTGCTGAGTTAGGTTGTTAACTCGGCTGGCAGATGGTAATTTTGTCAGCGCCAATTGTGCAGGCCAAGGTCTTGAGCAAGGGTCCTCAAACTTTTTAAACAGAGGGCCAGGTCAAAGTCCCTCAAACTGTTTGAGGGCCGGATTATAATGTGAAAAAAACATGAATGAATTCCTATGCACACGGCACATATCTTATTTGTAGTGCAAAACCACTTAAAAACAATACAATGATTAAAATGAAGAACAATTTTAACAAATATAAACTTATTAGTATTTAAATGGGAAGTGTGGGCCTGCTTTTGGCTGATGAGATGGGATTGTTGTTTTTGTTGTTGTTGTTGTGTGCTTTCAAGTCATTTCAGACTTAGGTTGACCCTGAGCGAGGGCCGGGTAAATGACCTTGGCAGGCCGCATCCGGCCCCCGGGCCTTAGTTTGAGGACCCCTGGTCTTGAGGCACTGCACCCAGTGTGCCGATCATCACTGGGACCCCTTTGACTGGCTTGTGCCAGAGTCTTTGCAGTTCGATCTTTAAATTCTCATATCATGTCAGCTTTTCCAATTGTTTTTAAGTGCAGGCCAAGGTCTTGAGGCACTGCACCCAGTGTGCCGATCACCACTGGGAACACCTTGACTGGCTTGTGCCAGATTCTTTGCAGTTCGATCTTTAAATCCTCATATCATGTCAGCTTTTCTAGTTGTTTCTCTTCAATCCTTTTCTTCAAATAATAATAATAATAATAATAATAATTATTATTATTATTATTATTATTATTATTATCCTGACACAAAACACAGTAGATCACAGCATATTATTATTGTTGTTGTTGTTGTTATTATTATTATTATTCTGACACAAAAACACAGGATGTCACATAATTTATTATTATTATTATTATTATTATTATCATCATCATCATCCTGACACAAAAACACAGTATGTCAAAGTATATTATTATTATTATTATTATTATTATTATTATTATTATTATTATTATTATTATTATCCTGACACAAAAACACAGTAGGTTGCAGCATATTATTATTATTATTATTATTATTATTATTATTATTATTATTATTATCCTGACACAAAAACACAGCATGTCACAGCAAATGATATCTATATTTATTATTTATTTATTTATTTATTTATTACTGCGCTTGTATACCGCCGTTTCTCAGCCTACATTGGCGACTCAACGCGGTTTACAACATTACAATAATCAACAATATTCAAGATAAAAAGCATAAAAAAAGCATAAAAACACATACATAATATACAATATTGGGCCACCAATATCGAACCAATGCATCTCTTAGTTAAAAACGCAGTCCAATTTCATTGTCTGTGATTACCAGTCCTTGATCATCAGATTCGTTGCACCGTATTAACCGAATGCTTGTTCGAACATCCATGTCTTCAGTCTTTTTCGAAACGCCACCAGCGAGGGGGCTGATCTTACCTCTATGGGGAGGGCGTTCCAAAGCCGAGGGGCTACCACAGAAAAGGCCCTGTCTCTCGTCCCCGCCAGCCGCACCTGTGAAGCAGGCGGGATAGAGAGCAGGGCCTCCCCAGAAGATCTTAGGGTCCTGGTGGGCTGATAGGCCGAGATTTCGTATATATGCTGGATTTCGTATCACAAAATCACAAGTCAAACACAAGCATCTAGGACTGTGTGATTTTTTTTATTATTATTATTATTATTATTATTATTATTATTATTATTATTATTATTAGAAACACAACAAGATGAGTCTACAGCAGACACTCTGCTGGCTACTGTATTAGATCACACGTCAGATACAAATAAAGTACCCTGGCTGCTTCCTGCCTGGGGGAATCCTTTGTTGGGAGGTGGGTGGTGGAAAGAACTCCTGTCTGTTGGAGGCAAGTGTGAATGTTGCCATTGGCCACCTTGATTAGCATTGAATGGCCTTGCAGATCAAACCGCATCAATTGGACACTGCCTTGGATGGTTTGGGACCTGCCTACCTGCGTGACTGCATCTCCATTTATGAACCTGCACGCTCCCTTTGTTCATCCGGAGAGACCCTGCTCAGGATCCCACCTGCGTCGCAAGCGCGGCTGGTGGGGACGAGGGACAGGGCCTTCTCGGTGGTAGCCCCCCAACTCTGGAATTCCCTCCCCAAGGACATCAGACAAGCCCCTACGTTGGCAGTCTTTAGGAAGAGCTTGAAGACCTGGCTATTCCGGTGTGCCTTTCCAGAATAGGAAACTCCAGCAATACGTCCCAGAAGCACTTTATTAGAGATTTAAGATTGTCCGCACATGGCACTTACCCAAAAATCCTTATATTTCACTTATACTCAGCACTTTTTAATCTGTATCCATTACACTTGGCCCGACCTTAGTTTTGTTGTGCTATGGTGTACTGTTTTTACTGTTTACTGTTATTGCTTTAATGTTTTGATTTGCTTTATGGTTTATGTGTATTTGTTATATTGTTGTTTTATCGAGGCCTTGGTCTTTGTAAGCCACATCAAGTCCTTCGGGAGATGTTAGCGGGGTACAAATAAAGTTAATAATAATAATAATAATTGGAGAAATGATTTGGACATGCCGAACGACCAGATCTCACCCAGTTCTGAGAAATCATCTCACCTCGTAATTGTTGATTTCAGGGGGATTCCTCTCGTTTTGGTTCTCATAGGACAGATGTTCAGGAGTGGTCACTCTTGGCCTGGAAGGGTCAGCTATGGAACGGAACAGGAGGCACGTCACCTTCCGTGAAATTCACAAACCCAACCCCAGACCGACAACAATAGGATAATTGTATACCACCAGTTGTCCCAGTTGGTCAGGGACATCCCCATTTAAGCTTCTCCTGTCCCACTTTTCCAGCTGAGTATAAAATATGTTGTTGAAGGTTTTCATGGCCAGAGTCACTGGGTTGCTGTGAATTTTCCGGGCTATCTGGACATGTTCCAGAAGCATTCTCTCCTGATGTTTCACCTGCATCTATGGCAGGCATCTTCAGAGGTTGTGAGATTTCCAGGTCTGAAAATTCACAGCAACCCATTATTATTATTATTATTATTATTATTATTATTATTATTATTGACACAAAAGCACAGTATGTCACAGCAAAGAGATCTATATGCTGGATTTCGTATCAGAAAATCACAAGTCGAACACTTCCCAAGCGTCTAGGACTGTGTGATGTAATATTATTATTATTATTGTTATTATTATTATTATTATTATTATTATTATTATTACTTTTTTTTTTGTTGTTGTTGTTGTTTTGTTTGTTGAAGGCTTTCATGGCGGAATCACTGGGTTGCTGTGAGTTTTCTGGCCTGTCTGGCCATGTTCCAGAAGCATTCCCTCCTGACGTTTCGCCCACATCTATGGCAGGCATCCTCAGAGGTTGTGAGGTTTCCAGGTCTGAAAATTCACAGCAACCCATTATTATTATTATTATTATTATTATTATTATTATCATTATCATCATCATCACCAACAGCATTGGATATGGGTTGCTGTGAGTTTTCGGGATTGTATGGCCATGTTCCAGAAGCATTCTCTCCTGATGTTTCACCCACATCTATGTCAGGCATCCTCAGTTGTGAGGTGTTTTGGAAACTAGGCAAGGGGGGTTTATATAGATGTGGAATAATGTCCAGGATGGAAGAAAGTACTCTTGTCTATGAGGCAAGCATGAATGTTGTCATTGGCCAGCTTAATTAGGATTGAATAGCCTTGCAGCTTCAAAGCTTGGCTGCTTCCTGCCTGGGGGGAAGGTGTTAGCTGGCAGGCAACCTCTGAGAATGCCTGCCATAGATGCAAGCAAAATGTCAGGAGAAAATGCTTCTGGAACATGGCAATACAGCCCAGAAAACGCACAACGCAGAAACTGAATGGCCATCTGTCGGGAGCGGTTGGATTGTGTCTCTGTGCATGGCAGAATGTGCTTGGAGTTGCTCTTGGGATCTCTTCTAACTCTACGATACTATGATTCAGAGCCAGAATGGCCATCTGTCGGGAGGGCTTGGGATTGGACCTAGTCACTTTTACCATTCATAGCATTGTAGTGTCAAAATAATGTCCAGGGTGGGAGAAATAACGCTTGTCTGTGAGGGAAGTGTGAATGTGGCCATTGGCCACCTTGATTAGCATTGAATGGCCTTGCAGCTTCAAAGCCTGGCTGCTTCCTGTCTGGGGGAATCCTTTGTTAGGAGGTGGTTGGTGGAAAGAACTCCTGTCTGTTTGAGGCAAGTGTGAATGTGGCCATTGCCCACCTTGATTAGCACTGAATGGCCTTGCAGCTTCAAAGCCTGGCTGCTTCCTACCTGGGGGAATCCTTTGTTGGGAGGTGGGTGGTGGAAAGAACTCCTGTCCGTTTGAGGCAAATGTGAATGTGGCTATTGGCCACCTCGATTAACATTGAATGGCCTTGCAGCTTCAAAGCCTGGCTGCTTCCTGCCTGGGGGAATCTTTTGTTGGGAGGTGGGTGGTGGAAAGAACTCCTCTCTCTTTGAGGCAAGTGTGAATGTGGCCATTGGCCACCTTGATTAGCATTGAATGGCCTTGCAGCTTCAAAGCCTGGGTGGTTGCTGCCTTGCGGACTACTAGTGGTCCACAGATGACAGGTTGGGAACCACTGGTGTAGATGGAACCGTGAGACTGAGAAGCTCATGCATGTACTGTATTTCCATGCTCTGGCCATGACACTGAGAAGGAAATCGACACAGCTGACATGGAAATACAAACACAGGATGTTGTCTCCAAGTGGATGTTTTTGCCCTGACCAAGGCAGATTTCCGTCTGCTCTAAAGTCTGTTTCCTTACCTTGTCTGGTGAAACATTTCCTCTTTTTCCTACAATTCCAGATTGTGCAAAATCCTACCAGGAATAATAATACCACGATGCTTACGAACAGCCACCATCGGTTCCGTATTGGTCCGTCACCTGCAAAAAGCAACAAAACATCCCATGTTGGCTATTGAAAAAACAATACTTTTAAATGATAAAACAAAACAAAACAATGTATTGTGTGCCTTTCGTGCTCCCAAAAGCTCCCCAAAGCCTCATTTAGAAAGTGGAGTCGATCTTGGCACTTTGTTGTCCTTAGGGCTGAAGGATTACAAGTTACGTAGACAATTCAATCATCAACTAATATCAACATTGAATCTTTCTTTGGGATGTGGCCCCTCTCCCGACGAATCTGGCCATATATCTAATGGCACCAATGAAGAATCGGTGATGGGATGTGGCATGGCCCATCATCCCCAAAACAAAACTATGTACAAGCATGACAACACCCTTTTTTCGTGTCAGGAGCGACTTGAGAAACTGCAAATCGCTTCTGGTGTGAGAGAATTGGCTGTTTGCAAGGATGTTGCCAAGGGGACGCTGCCACCCCTGTTTGTTGATGTTTTACCATCCTTGTGGGAGGCTTCTCTCATGTCCCCACATGGGGAGCTGGAGCTGACGGAGGGAGCTCATCTGTGCTCTCCCCGGATTCAAACCACCAACCTGTCAGTCTTCAGTCCTGCTGGCACAAAGGTTTAATCCTTGCTGCTGGTACACAATGAGACAATGTGATTGCAAGCAATTGAAAAGTAAAGCATGGCAGGATTCATGATCCCAGCAATGAGAAAGTGGAGCAACAGCACCCCTGGTGGCCGGAACTGAGCATAACCTCCAAGATGCCGAAGATAGGAAAGCCTCTATATATACCTCTATCTACATACAGTTGCCTGTCTTGTTAGTGCATAATGGCATTGAATGTTTGCCGGATATGTGTTTTTTGTGATCCACTCCGAGTCCCATTTGGGATGAGAAGGGCGAAATATAAATACTGCTGCGCTCTGGGCCAGAGTGAATAGAGGGGGGGGGGGGGGGGGGGGGGGGGGGGGGGTGGGGGAGGGGGTGTTGGGGGGGGGGGGGGGGGTGGGGGGGGGGGGGGGGGGGGGGGGGGGGGGGGGGGGTGGTTCTGCAGAAGGGGGAGTAAAGAGAGGGGCCAAGAAGACAGTTCCATCTTGTCTCCTTTACTTATAATATAATATAATATAATATATTGTACATAGTACATACATATAATATTTATAATATTATAATATAATACAATATGCTACTACTAATAATACAATATTATAATTATATATTTTATATTACATGTAATATTACGAATAACATTACAATATATATAGTGTAGTACAACATAGTAATATATAATACTGATATTGTACTAGGCTAATAATATAATATATTGTACTAGCTGTACCCTGCCACGCGTTGCTGTGGCCCATTTCAGTCTTCCCTTTCTGCTTCCCTTCCTTCCTTCTTTCCTTCCTTCCTTCTCCTCCTCCTTCTCCTTCCTTCCTTCCTTCCTTCCTTCCTTCCTTCCTTCCTTCCTTCCTTCTCGTCCTCCCTCCCTCCCTCATTCCTCCCTTCGTTCTGTTTCTGCCTCCCCCTTCCCCTCCGTGATGTTGTGGCCGACTCTGGTGGTGGACCCACAACCGGTATGACAGCGGGCCAGACCCCTGTCTGGAAGGAACGGTAGTAGGGAACTCTCTCTGTCTTGGATCCCCCTGGCGAGGAGGAGGCGGCAGAGGCGGAGCCGGGCCCCTCCTGGCCCGCCGTCGGCCTTTCCCTCGTTCCCTCTTTCCTTCCTTCCTTCCTTCCTTCCTTCCTTCCTTCCCTCCCTCCCTCCCTCTGTCTTTCTCTCCTTCCTTCTGTTTCCTTTAATTTTATTTCCTTTTCTCCTTCCTTCCCCCTTTGGCTCCTTCATTCCTTCTCTTTCCCTTCTTCTCTCATTTCTTCTGGACTGTCCCTTTCAACGGTAATGCCGCGGGGGAGGGGGGGGTGAGGGGCGGCAAGTGCGCGCGTGGCGGGGAGTTTGCGCCGCGCGCGCGTGTGTGCCGCGGGGGGGGGGGGGGCGGCGGGTGCGCGCGTGGCGGGGAGTTTCCGACGCGCGCGCGTGTGCCGCGGGGGGGGGGTGAGGGGCGGCGGGTGTGCGCGTGGCGGGGAGTTTCCGCCGCGCGCGCGTGTGTGCCGCCGGGGGGGGGGGCGAGGGGCGGCGGGTGCGCGCGTGCCGGGGAGTTTGCGCCAGTGCGCATGTTCAGTTGTTTTGTGGTGTTTTCGTCGTTGCAGTTGTGTTTTCTTTACTTTGGAGTAGATTAGTTTGTAGCGAGTGGGTTGTCCTAGGGGCATGGGAATTTTGGTTCAGTTTCGTTGGGGGGTTGTGGAGTTATGCGACGCCGTACGACGCCCCCTACAGATTTATATATATAGATGTATATATATTTTGTAAGCTGCTCTGAGTCCCCTTCGGGGTGGGAAGGGTGGCATATAAATGTCGCAAATAAATAAATAAATAAATAAATAAATAGGAATTAATTTTTCGTTTCAAATGCATGTCTTTGCACATACACAAACCCCATTGCTCTTCCTGCACTCGAGGAACTGTGGCAATTTTGCATTCAATATCTGTGTAATGAAGGATCTGGGATGTGAGACATGAACGACGCACCTTCAAGGGAGCAGACGGAGAGCAAGTCGAAGGAGGCCTTCTTCTGATCGGCCGGATTGGAGACCAGGCAGGTGAAGCTGGAGTCCGCTGCATTGGACCCCATGGAAACATGGAGACGCCAGCCATCGGAGGAGAGCTGATACCAGCCTGAACTTCCTTCTAAGGTCCTGAGATCATTCCCGATCCTCCAGGAGATGCTGAGTCCGGCCTTTTCAGAGAGCCAACACTCCAAGGTCACATTACAGCTAGTTGAAGAGTTGGAGACCGTTTGGTGGAGAACTTGCGGTACTGGAACAGGATCTGTTAAAAGTCGAGAGAAGAGTACTCTTTCCAAAGTAGCCAGGCCTTTGTTCCCTTGACAATGTACAAAATCTGGCTACTAGCATTGAGAAACACCAGAATCAAAACAGTCACCACTCAGACACAGGAACCCCCCTGGCAGCAAGCAATCAAGGGCCAGGGAACGCCACCCAGACAAAGGATATCTCCGAGCAATAGGGAACAGGCAGATGCCCTCACTATTGACTATGCAATCTTCTCAGTTAGGTAAAGGTTGTCCCCTGACATTAAGTCCAGTCGTGTCCGACTCTGGGGGGTGGGGCTCATCTCCATTTCTAAGCCAAAGAGCCAGAGTCGGTTGTCCATAGACACCTCCAAGGCCATGTGGCTAGCATGACTGCATGGAGTGCCGTTACCTTCCCGCCCGAGCGGTACCTATTGATCTACTCACATTTGCCTGTTTTTGAACTGCTAGGTTGGCAGAAGCTGGGGCTGACAGTGGAAGCTCACACTGCTTCCCGAATCCCACTCAAAGTATTGCTAATTGTTTAATAGACATTGGGTCTCTCTCCCACTCTGGATATTCCACAGGTATGTATTATACTCCACTTGCTTTACCACCGTCAGATCCTCTGAAGATACCAGCCACAGATGATGGTGAAACGTCAGGAGAAAATGCTGCTAAACATGGCCATACAGCCCAGAAACCACACAAAGGCCATGAAAGCCTTTTACAACACATGATGATGATGATGATGATGATAAGAGCCGATTGTGTTTAAGTGCAGGCCAAGGTCTTTAGGCACTGCACCCAGTGTGCCGATCACCACTGGGACCACCTTGACTGGCTTGTGCCAGAGTCTTTGCAGTTCTATCTTTAAATCCTCGTATCATGTCAGCTTTTCCAGTTGTTTCTCTTCAACCCAGTCATCATCATCATTATTATGTGTTGTAAAAGGCTTTCATGGCCTTTGTATAATAATAATAATATTTTATTATTTTATATAATAATAATAATAATAATAATAATAATAATAATAATAATAATTGTATAATAATATATATAGTAAAAAAGGTAAAGGTTTTCCCCTGACATGAAGTCCAGTCGTGTCCGACTCTGGGGTTGGTGCTCATCTCAATTTGCCGGTTCTTTGGTTTAGAAATAATAATAATAATAATAATAATAGTATAATAATAGAGTTGGAATAGATCACACGGGCCATCTAGGTCAACCCTCTGCTATCAGAAAAAGCACAATCAAATCAACCCCCAACAGATGGCCATCCAGATTCTGTTTAAAATCCTCCAAGGAAAGAGCTTCCACTACACTCTGAAGCAGAGAGTTCCACTGTTGAACAGCCATTCCAATCAAGAAGATCTTCCTAATGTTCAGGTGGAATTTCCTTTCCTGTCATTTGAACCCATGGCTCCATTGAGTCCTAGTCTCCAGGGCAGCAGAAAACATGCCCTGCTCACTATTCCTTATGACAGCCTTTCCAATATTTAAACATGGCTCTCCTGTCTCCTCTCACCCTTTTCTTCTGAAGGCTAAACAGACCCAGCTCTTTAAGCCGCTCCTCAGAGGGATTCAGAACTCTCCAGAACTTTGGTCCTTATAGTTGTCCTCCTCTGGACACCTTCCAGCTTGGCAATATCTCCCTTAATAGGTCACATCAAAATCCATAATTCTGGCCCAAGACTTATCCATGAGGTCAACTTATCTGGTACTTACCATAGACCTTGAGGTGGTAAAAATGTTCTTGAATCTCTGCCGAGCGAAACTTCACCAGGGACCTATAAAACCCGCTGTCCTCTTTCTCCAGGTTTCGGATCCTCAGGCTGGTCTCATCTGCCAGTTCCACGCGCGACCCAAACCGGTCATTGGGAGTCAGACGCTTCAGTGTCCCACCTTGGAATTCGGCTATGATTAACCATGTGCCACTTTGCAGCTGGAATTCCCATTCGATTCTATGTAATGTCTCTGATGTGGAAATGTTCCTGATGGGCAGCACAACTGTTCCGTTCAGCATCCCATTGACTTGGTGAAAGGGCATCTGTATCGAATCATTAACGGCACCTTAAACAAAGATTATTATTATTATTATTATTATTATTATTATTATTATTATTATTATCCTGCTTTCCTTTCTTAAACAAGACTCAGCCTCCTTCTACACTGCCATATCATCCAGATCAGCAAACCAAAAAATCCACATGATCTGCTTTGAACTGGATTATATGAGTCTGCACTGCCATATAATCGGTTCAAAGCAAATAATCTGGATTTTATATGGCAGTGTAGGAGGTGATAGGAATGGGGAGAAGATAGATGAGCAAAAACGGTCAAAGTGTCTGCTTCCTCCAAAAAGCCCCGCTGAAAGTCCCAAAGGAAATTCCCGTTCTTTTCTGTTTATCTTGGAGATCCGAACACATTTTGTTTATTCCAGAATATTTTCAGCCTGCAACTTTGGACAAACCAAGCTTTTTATACTAGGTTTGTTGACATTGGGAAGAACAGAGAGGGAGGGGAACCTTGATTAGCCAGCTTGATCAGCATTTAATAGCCCTGCAGCTTCAAAGCCTGGCTGCTTCCTGCCTCAGGGAATCCTTTGCTGGGAGATGCTTCCTACCGGAGTGGAAATCATCTATCGGACAGATGGCTATTTAACCTCAGCAGACTGAAAGGTAAAACCAAGGTTACAACAACATCTGTTATAGAACTCCAGTATGCTGATGACAACATCATCTGTGCGCATTCAGAAGAAGACCTACAAGCCACTCTAAACACCCTCGCAGAAGCTTGCGAGACTTGGCCACAGTGGTACACACTCTGGTTACATCCCGTATAGACTACTGCAATGCTCTCTACGTGGGGTTGCCTCTGAAGACTGCCCAGAAGCTACAACTAGTCCAACGAGCGGCAGCCAGACTACTAACAGGAGCGGGGTACAGGGAGCATACTACTCCTCTGTTGCGTCAGCTCCACTGGCTGCCAATCAGCTTCCGAGCACAATTCAAAGTGCTGGTGTTAACCTATAAATCCCTAAACGGTTCCGGCCCAATTTACCTGTCCAAATGGATTCTCCCCTATGAACCATCAAGGTTGTTAAGATCTTCTGGAGGGGCCCTGCTCTCGGTCCCACCTCTTTCGCAATTGCGCTTGGTGGGAACGAGGCACAGGGCCTTCTCAGTGGTGGCCCCTTGGCTCTGGAACTCCCTCCCGATGGAGATTAGATCTGCCTCTTCCCTCCTGACTTTTAGAAAGCTGGTAAAATCATGGCTTTGGGATACTGCATTTGCAGAATGATGATTGAGTCAATAACTGCTGACCTTACTGGCGGATGGCGATGAATTTGTGATTTCACTCTGACAAACTGACTTTTTGTAATTTGTATGAACTGTATTTTAATGTATTTTATATTGATGATGTATATTTGTTTTTATCTTACTATATTGAATCCTCTGTTGTTAGCCGGCCTGAGTCCCTCTCCGGAGGTCGAGAAGACCGGGTTATAAATAAATAAATAAATAACGGGAAGCTCGGCCTGTCATTGAACATCGAGGAAACCAAAGTGCTGTTCCAGGAGTCACCAGCCAATCCCTCTCCAATGCCAGAGAAACAGCTGAATGGTGTAACATTAGAAAATGTTGACCATTTCTGCTCCTTTGGCAGCCACCTCCCCACCAAAGTCAACATTAACACTGAAATTCAACACTGCCTGAGCTCTGCGAGTGCAGCGTTTTTCTGAATGAAGTAGAGAGTGTTTGAGGACCAGGACATCCGTAGGGAGACCAAGGGGCTTGTTTATAAAGCTATTGTCCTCCCAACCCTGCTATACGCCTGCGAGATGTGGACTGTCTACAGATGTCAACATTGACACTGAAATACAACACCGCCTGAGCTCTGTGAGTGCAGCATTTTTCCCAATGAAGCAGAGAGTGTTTGAGGACCGGGATATCCGTAGGGAGACCAAGGGGCTTGCTTATAAAACTATTGTACTCCCAACACTGCTCTATGCAGTCTACAGTCTACAGACGTCACATGCAACTCCTGGAACGATTCCACCAGTGCTGCTTCCGGAAAATCCTGCAAATCTCTTGGGAAGACAAGCGGACAAATGTCAGTGTGCTGGAAGAAGCAAAGATCACCAGCATTGAAGAGATGGTCCCCGCCATCAACTCCGCTGGACTGGCCACGTTGTCCGGATGCCCGACCACCGTCTCCCAAAGCAGTTGCTCTACTTCGAACTCAAGAACGGAAAACGGAATGTTGGTGGACAGGAAAAGAGATTGAAAGATGGGCTCAAAGCCAACCTTAAAAACTCTGGCATAGACACTGAGAACTGGGAAGCCCTGGCCCTTGAGCGCTCCAGCTGGAGGTCAGCTGTGACCAGCAGTGCTGCAGAATTTGAAGAGGTACGAATGGAGGGCGAAAGAGAGAAATGTGCCAAAAGGAAGGCGTGTGAAGCCACCTTCCACCTGGTAACTGATGCCCTCACTGTGGGAGAAGATGTAGATCAAGAATAGGGCTCCACAGTCACCTACGGACCCACTGCCAGGACACTACACTTGGAGGACCATCATCCTCGGACAACGAGGGATTGCCTAAGTAAGTAAGCAAGCAGCTGGCCCAGATTAGCTGGTCCTGAAAGGCACTGCAGACTGCTTCAACCAGAAAAGTCAGTGTTAGTAGAGCACTTGGGGAACCAACCAGACAAAACGTATTATTGGAGAACACAGGAGAAATCCAGGCAGGAAACAAGCAGGGCCAGCTAACACATCCCAACAAAGGATTCCCCTAGGCTTTGAAGCTGCAAGGCCATTTAATGCTAAGCAAGGTGGCCAACATTCACACTTGCCTCCAACAGACAAGAGTTCTTTCTTCCACTCTGGACATTATTCCACAGATAAGGACAGTAAATAAAGAGCAACACTCAGAAAACAAACAATCAAGGCCAGCTAACACCTCTCTTCCCCCAAGCAGGAAGCAGCCAGACTTTGAAGCTGCCAGGCTTGAGATAAGGGGGGAAGAAGGGGGGAGGAACCCAGGGAGATGTATCACTGGGCTTTGGCTGGAAACCCTCAGATCTCTCTTTCTACGAACCCTGTATGGACTGAATAAACCCGTATTCAAGAAATCTGCCTTGTGAGCGTGGCTTTGTTCTAAGATCCGGCAGGAACTGACACTATTCAATGCTAATCAAAGTGGCCAATGGCAACATTCAGACTTGCCTCCAACAGACAAGAGTTCTTTCTCCCACCCTGGACATTATTCCACAGATAAGGACAGTAAATAAAGAGCAATGCTCGGAAAATAAACAATCAGGGCCAGCTAATACCTCTCTACAAAGGATTCCCCTAAGCAGGAAGCAGCCAGACTTTGAAGCTACCAGGCTATTCAATGCTAATCAAAGTGGCCAATGGCAACATTCACACTTGCCTCCAACAGACAAGAGCTCTTTCTCCCACCCTGGACATTATTCCACAGATAAGGACAGTAAATAAAGTGCAACGCTCAGAAAATAAACAATCAGGGCCAGCTAATACCTCTCAACAAAGGATTCCCCCAAGCAGGAAGCAGCCAGTTTGAAGCTGCAAGGCTATTCATGCTAATCAGTGGCCAAATGCAACATTCACACTTGCCTCCAACAGACAAGAGTTATTTCTCCTACCCTGGAAATTATTCCACAGATAAGGACAGTAAATAAAGAGCAATGCTTGGAAAATAAACAATCAGGGCCAGCTAAAACCTCTCTACAAAGGATTCCCCTAAGCAGGAAGCAGCCAGACTTTGAAGCTACCAGGCTATTCAATACTAATCAAAGTGGCCAATGGCAACAGTCACACTTGCCTCCAACAGACAAGAGTTCTTTCTCCCACCCTGGACATTATTCCACAGATAAGGACAGTAAATAAAGTGCAACGCTCAGAAAATAAACAATCAGGGCCAGCTAATACCTCTCTACAAAGGATTCCCCTAAGCAGGAAGCAGCCAGACTTTGAAGCTACCAGGCTATTCAATACTAATCAAAGTGGCCAATGGCAACATTCACACTTGCCTCCAACAGACAAGAGTTCTTTCTCCCACCCTGGACATTATTCCACAGATAAGGACAGTAAATAAAGAGCAATGCTCGGAAAATAAACAATCAGGGCCAGCTAATACCTCTCTACAAAGGATTCCCCTAAGCAGGAAGCAGCCAGACTTTGAAGCTACCAGGCTATTCAATACTAATCAAAGTGGCCAATGGCAACAGTCACACTTGCCTCCAACAGACAAGAGTTCTTTCTCCCACCCTGGACATTATTCCACAGATAAGGACAGTAAATAAAGTGCAACGCTCAGAAAATAAACAATCAGGGCCAGCTAATACCTCTCAACAAAGGATTCCCCCAAGCAGGAAGCAGCCAGGCTATCCAAACGCATCTCCCCCTATGAACGCACTAGGGATTTGAGATCGCCCTGCTCTCAATCCCACCTGCTTCACAAGCACGTCTGGCAGGGACGAGAGACAGGGCCTTCTCTGCGGTGGCGGATTGAATATGACGACATAGTTTTAACATTTTTATTGTTCACTGTTTTGATGTTTTTAGATATATAGTAATGTGATGTTTTATTTTTATTGATGTATGTATTTTATATATGGCATCAAATTGTACCGATTGTTTGTTGCCCTTTGGGCTGATATGGGCGGGGTAAAAATGATATAAATAAATAAGTAAATAAATAAATAAATGAGCTGCAAGGCATTGAATGCTAATCAAAGTGGCCAATGGCAACATTCACCACTTGCCTCCAACAGACAAGAGTTCTTTCTCCCACCCTGGACATTATTCCATAGATATATACACCCCACTTGCCTAGTATCCAAAAGACCTCTCAAGCTCTAAGGATGCCTGCCATAGATGTGGACGAAATGTCAGGAGGGAATGCTTCTGGAACATGGCCAGACAGACCTGAAAACTCACAGCAACCTAATAATAATAATAATAATAATAATAATAATAATAATAATAATGGGTTGCTGTGAATTTTCAGACCTGGAAACCTCACAATTCTCTGAGGATGCCTGCCATAGATGAGGGCGAAACGTCAGGAGGGAATGCTTCTGGAACATGGCTAGACAGACCCGAAAACTCACAGCAACCCAATAATAATAACAATAACAATAACAACAACAATAATAATGGTTTGCGGTGAATTTTCAGACCTGGAAACCTCACAACCTCTGAGGATGCCTGCCATAGATGTGGGCGAAACGTCAGGAGAGAATGCTTCTGGAACACAGCCAAACAGCTTGGAAAACTCACATCAATCCAATAATAATGATAATAATGGGTTGCTGTGAATTTTCAGACCTGGAAACCTCACAACCTCTGAGGATGCCTGCCATAGATGTGGCCAAAACATCAGGAGAGAATGCTTCTTGAACATGGCCAGACAGACCCAAAAACTCACAGCAATCCAATAATAATAACAATAATAATAATAATAATAATAATAATAATAATAATAATAATGGGTTGCTGTGAATTTTCAGACGTGGAAACTTCACAACCTCTGAGGATGCCTGCCATAGATGTGGGCGAAACATCAGGAGAGAATGCTTCTGGAACACGGCCAAACAGCTTGGAAAACTCACAGCAACCCAGCCATGAAAGCCTTCGACAACAACTTTATCTAGTTCCTGTTGATGCATCTCTACCATTCTTTTTCAAACACGAGAGAAGTCAGGAGAAATGGTATCGGGACATGTGTTTTTAGAAATCACATCAACACTCATCTATTCTTCATCCCAAGACCTTGCAAGCCAGCTGGCTGTGTCCGAAGTTACACACATAGTTATCGTGCTACATAATGGCAACTGTGTTGTGTAACCCAGATGAGGCCAAAGGAACTGCATGACTTCGAAGCCATTTCCATCTTCTAGATAAATAAACATGTAATGTTCGTTTGTGGGATTAACAGAACTCAAAAACCACTGGACGGATTGACACCAAATTTGGACACTCTACCCCTTGACAGACCAACGAGTGACCATCACTCATAACTCCAAAAGCTAAATAACAATAAGCTAAATGATGATACAGAAAAAGGGAAGGAAGAGGGAGGGAAGGAAGGGGAGAAAGAAAGAAAGAAAGAAAGAAAGAAAGAAAGAAAGAAAGAAGGAAGGAAGGAAGGAAGGAAGGAAGGAAGGAAGGAAGGAAGGAAAGAAGTTGAGAAAGAAGAAAGGAGAGAAAGAGGAAGGAAAAGAAAAGAGGGAAGGAAGGAAAGAGGAAGAGAAAGAAGAAAGGAGAGAAAGAGGAAGGAAAAGAAAAGGGGGAAGGAAGGAAAGAGGAAGAGAAAGAAGAAAGGAGAGAAAGGGGACAGAAAAGACAAGGGGGAAGGAAGGAAAGAGGTAGAGAAAGAGGGAGGGAAGGAAAGAAGGAAGGATGGAAGCAAAAAGTGAAAGAAAGATAGATGGAAGGAAGGAAGGAAGGAAGGAAGGAAGGAAGGAAGGAAGGAAGGAAGGGAAAGAAAAAAGGAAAGAGAGAAGAAAGCATATACGCAAAGAGCGAAGGAAGGAAGGAAAGAGAGAATGAAGAAAGGAGAGAAAGGGGAAGGAAAAGAAAAGGGGAGAAGGAAGGAAAGAGGTAGAGAAAGAGGAAGGAAAGAAAGAAGGATGGAAGCAAAAAGTGAAAGAAGGAAGGAAGGAAGGAAGGAAGGAAAGGAAAGAGAAGAAGGAAGAAGGAAGAAGGAGGAAGGAAGGAAGGAGGAAAGAGGGAAGAAGGAAGAAAGGAGAGAAAGGGAGGAAAAGAAAAAGGGGAGAAGGAAAGAGGTAGAGAAAGAGGAAGGAAAGAAAAAGCAAAGGAAAGAAAGAAAGAAAGAAAGAAAGAAAGAAAGAGGGAGGGAAAGAAAAAGGAAAGAGAGAAGGAAGCATGGAAGCAAAGAACGAAGGAAGGAAGGCAAGAGATAGAGAATGAAGAAAGGAGAGAAAAGGGAAGGAAAAGAAAAGGGGGAAGGAAGGAAAGAGGTAGAGAAAGAGGGAGGGAAGGAAAGAAGGAAGAATGGAAGCAAAAAGTGAAAGAAGGATAGAAGGAAGGAAGGAGGGAAGGAAGGAAGGAAGGAAGGAAGGAAGGAAGGAAGGAAAGAGGTCGAGAAAGAAGAAAGGAGAGAAAGAGGAAGGAAAAGAAAGGGGGGGAGAGAGAAAAAGAGGAAAGAAGGAAGAAAAGATGAAAGGGAAGGAGGAAGGAAAGAAGAAAAGAACGAGAAGGGGGAAAGGAGGAAGAAAGAGAAGGTGTGAGAGAGGAAATGTACAAAATAAAGGTAGTGGGAAAGAAAAAGAGGGAGGGAAGGAAAGAATTGAGGAAGGAAAGAAGAAAGGGAAGGAGGAAGGAAAGAACGAGAAGGGGGAAAGAAGGAAGAAAGGATAGAGAAGGTATGTGAGAGAGGAAGTGTCCAAAAGAAAGACAGAGTGGGAAAGAAAGAGAGGGAGGGGAAAGGATAGAAAGATAAGAAAGAAAGGAGTCAGGAAGGAAAGAAGAAAAGGAAGGGAAGGAAGGAAAGAGAAAGAAAGAAAGAAAGAAAGAGGGAGTGGCGTATGGGAGTGATGGAGGTAGTTCGGTGATGGCGGTATGTAGTGTAAGGCGGTCTTTAAGAAAAAAGGAAAGAGAGAAGGAAGCATGGAAGCAAAGAACGAGGAAGGAGAGAGGTAGAGAAAGAGGTAGGGAAGGAAAGAAGGAAGGATGGAAGCAAAAAGTGAAAGAAGGAAGGAAGGAGGGAGGGAAAGAAAAATGAAAAGAGAGAAGGAAGCATGGATGCAAAGAGTGAAGGAAGGAAGGAAGGAAAGAGATAGAGAATGAAGAAAGGAGATAAAAGGGAAGGAAAAGAAAAGGGGGGAAGAAAGGAAAGAGGTAGAGAAAGAGGGAGGGAAGGAAAGAAGGAAGGGTTCTAATTGTTCCATCTTTGATATTCTGTGCTTTCTTTCTAGCTGCATAATAATAATAATAATAATAATAATAATAATAATAATAATAGTGATAATTAATTAATTAATTAATAACAAACCCCCATTGTTGGGAGGTTGGAGGCCCATCTGGATCAGTTCTGTGCTCTCATCCTTCCAAACTGTGGACTTTGCCTGGAATCTTTGAAGGACCTCCTTGGACTTACCAAGAAAGGAGCAGATGAAGGTGATGGAGAAGAGGGCGGTCCTTGGAGAGCTCCATGGTGGCATTGGCCTGCCAGTCCCTCCTGCCAAGGGAGAAGAAGACCCTTCTCCTTTTCAAAGAGACCCACTTTGGAGGGTCTTCTCCCCCATTTTTGCAGTCGAGGAGGAGGAGGACTTTGGAGCCATGCTCTGCCTTCTCTGGGCCTCTCTGAACAAAGAGGGGAAACACAGCTGCCAGGAAGTAGGCGGGCTGAATTAGGGAAGGACAAACTCAAGCCCTAATGTATTGTCGAAGGCTTTCATGGCCGGAATCACTGGGTTGTTGTAGGTTTTTTTGGGCTATATGGCCATGGTCTAGAGGCATTCTCTCCTGACGTTTCACCTGCATCTATGGCAAGTATCCTCAGAGGTAGTGACAGTAGCTAACTGTCATTTTGCTACTGTTATGAATCATAATGTCAGTATCTGATAGGCAGGAGGTATTTTCATTCACTGGCTCAAATTTGAATACTGGTGGGGTTTGGGAGGGATTGATTTTGTCATTTTGGCGCCGATTGTTTTTAAGTGCAGGCCATGGTCTTTAGGCACTGCGCCCAGTGTGCCAGTCACCACTGGGACCACCCTGACTGGCTTGTGCCAGAGTCTGCAGTTCGATCCTTAAATCATTTAAATTTGTATATTGTGTCAGCTTTTCTAGTTGTTTCATCATCATCATCATCATCACTATTTGAAATACAGTAAGATTAGTACACAGTAAACAAGGTCACTCTGCTGGCAGTTGTATTGGATCACACGTCGGACATTCCCCAAGTGCCTGGGACTGTGTGATGTATCAGTGAATAATGCATGCAGATCCGAGTAGGGTGGCCTTTTGCAGCTGAAAGACGGTAATTTTGTCAGTGCTGATTGTTTTTAAGTGCAGGCCAAGGCCTTTGGGCACTGCGCCCAGTGTGCCTATTACCACTGGGACCACTTTTATTAGCTTGTGCTGATTGTTTTTAAGTGCAAGCCAAGGTCTTTAGGCAGTACGCCCAGTGTGCCGATCACCACTGGGACTACCTTTATTAGCTTGCGCTGATTGTTTTTAAGTGCAAGCCAAGGTCTTTAGGCACTGCGTCCAGTGTGCCGATCACCACTGGGGCCACCTTTATTAGCTTGTGCTGATTGTTTTTAAGTGCAAGCCAAGGTCTTTAGGCACTGCGCCCAGTGTGCCTATCACCACTGGGACCACCTTTATTAGCTTGTACTGATTGTTTTTCAGTGCAAGCCAAGGTCTTTAGGCGCTGTGCCCAGTGTGCCGATCACCACTGGGACCACTCTTATTGGCTTGTGCTGATTGTTTTTCAGTGCAAGCCAAGGTCTTTAGGCACTGCGCCCAATGTGCCGATCACCACTGGGACAACCTTTATTGGCTCGTGCCAGAGTTTTTGCAGTTCAATCTTTATATCCTCGTATTATGTAAGTTATTATTATTATTGTTATTTATTGTTATTATCAGCACAAGCTAATAAAGGTGGTCCCAGTGGTGATAGGCACACTGGGCGCCTAAAGAGCTTGGCTTGCACTTAAAAACAATCAGCACAAGCTAATAAAGGTGGTCCCAGTGGTGATAGGCACACTGGGCGCCTAAAGACCTTGGGTTGCAATTAAACACAATCAGCACAAGCTAATAAAGGTGGTCCCAGTGGTGATCGGCTAACTGGGAGCAATGGCCAAGCTCTGCAGCTTAGGAAAGTGCAAAGTTTATGGTTAGATAAGTGACAACAAATAAATCTCTTATTTATGTGGTTGCCAAGCAGCTCTTCACACTTCCGCCCCCTTATGCTTAATGTGTGTGGCAGAAAGCATTGAGATCGTGGCAGATGGAAAACACCACCATCATTTCATATATTTGCGTGGTTTTGTCTCCTGGCAGCAGAACAACAATAGAACTCAATGCAAATGTCAGACAGAGATGCAAACAAAAAAAACCCACTGCAGTAGGAAACCGTAGATCTTCCTGTTGTCAAACACGGACCTCCCCCCCCCCCTCCCCCGCCCACCACCACCTCAGGTCAAATTATTAAATTGACAAACTTGGTACTGCAGTGGAGAGTTCCGCAGGTAGTAGGAGCCCTTTTGACATTAAAATCCACTTTTGTGGATGATCAGCAGTCTGGAGAAGCCCACCCAGGAGACTTTTTGATACTTTTTAGCAACGATTTCCCCCTTTTACTACTTACATTAGAGCAGTGGTTCTCAACCTTCCGAATGCCACGACCCCTTAATACAGGTCCTCATGTGGTGGTGGGGTGCTCTCTGGATGTAGGTGAACTACAACTCCCAAACTCAAGGTCAATTCCCACCAAACCCTTCCAGATTTTCTGTTGGTCATGGGAGTTCTGTGTGCCAAGTTTCGTTCAATTCCATCATTGGTGGAATTCAGAATGCTCTTTAATTGTAGGTGAACTATAAATCACAGCAACTCCAACTACTAAATGACAAGGTCTATTTTCCCCAAACTCCAGCAGTGTTCACATTTGGGCATATTGAGTATCCATGCCAAGTTTGCTCCAAATCCAGCATTGTTTGAGTCCACAGTGCTCTCTTTATGTAGGTGAACTACAACTCCTTTGGGAGTAACCATGACAATATTTTCATTGCTACTTCACAACTGACATTTTGCTACTGTTAGGAATCGTAATATCTGAGATGCAGGATGTGTTTTCATTGACTGGACCAAATTTGGCACAAATACTCAATACGTCCAAATTTGAATACTTGTGGGGTTGGTGAGGGGGGAGGGGTTGATATTGTAATTTGGGAATTGTAGTTGCTGGGATTTATAGTTCACCTACAATCAAAGAGCATTCTGAACTCCACCAACGATGGAATTGAACCAAACGTGGCACACAGAACTCCCATGACCAACAGAAAATACTGGAAGGGTTTGGTGGCTTGAGTTTGGGAGTTGTAGTTCACCTACATCCAGAGAGCACTGTGGACTCAAACAATGATGGATCTGGATCAAACTTGGCACAAATACTCAATATACCCAAATGTGAACACTAGACCATTTGGCAATTGTCGTTGCTGGGATTCATAGTTGACCTACAATCAAAGAGCAGAGTGAACCTAGCCTACAGTCAGGGGCGGCTCAACCTATTACGCAAAATAAGTATTTGCAGTCTAGTTGATTTTGCCCAGGGGTGCTCTTGAGGCGCTCTTGGGGGAAAATAGACCTTGACATATGTGAGTTGTAGTTACTGGGATGTATAGTTCACCTACAATCAAAGAGCATTCTGAATGGAATTGAACCAAATATGGCACACAGAACTCCCACGACAAACAGAAAATATATATCAGTGATTGGTTTGGGGGGGGGGGGAGGGGCACCAAAATACTGTTTGCTTACCATTGATAATTACCTAGGGCCACCTCTGCCTACAATGGATCTGCACCAAACATGGCACACTGCCTACTTGACCAACATTGCGCAGAGGGTCGATCAATGCGACTTAAGCAACTTGGCTTGTTCAGAAGACTCTCCTCTACAGTTCCATTTTGGCGGAAAGCCTTAGCATTGAACGGTTGTGTTGTTAAAATGCGAAGTATGGAACCCTGCGCAGACGGTCGGTCAATGCGACTTAAGCAATGTGCAGTCATTGAATTCTTGACAGCACAAGGTGTCACCCAAACGACGCACAATACTCAAATCAACACAGTCACCATCAACAGCTTGCATCCTCTTTGGGGAGACACCTTCTGCTGTCAAGAATTCAATGACCGCCAGTTGCTTAAGTCGCATTGGCCGACCGTCTGCGCAAGGTTCCTTACTTTGCATTTTAACAACACAACTGTTCAATTCTAAGGCTTCCCGCCAAAATGGAACTGTAAAGGAGAGTCTACTGAACAAGCCAGTAACTGCCACATACATTGCTTAAGTTGCATTGACCAACCCTCTGCGCAAGGTTCCATACTTTTCACTTTAACCACACAACCGTTCAATGCTAAGGCTTCCCACCAAAATGGAACTGTAGAGGAGAGTCTACTGAACAAGCCAGTAACTGCCACATATGTTGCTTAAGTCGCATTGACCAACCGTCTGTGCAGGGTTCCATACTTTGCACTTTAACAACACAACCGTTCAATGCTAAGGCTTCCCGTCAAAATGGAACTGTAGAGGAGAGTCTACTGAACAAGCCAGTAACTGCCAGATATGGGGTGACACCTTCTGCTGTCAAGAATTCAATGACTGCATGTTGCTTATGTTGCATTGACCGACCGTCTGTGCAGGGTTCCATACTTCGCATTTTAACAACTCAACCGTTCAATGCTAAGGCTTCCCGCCAAAATGGAACTGTAGAAGAGAGTCTACTGAACAAGCCAGTACCTGCCGCATACCAGTACTGCCATCTGTTGCGGAGTTACGAAAGTGGAGGCATTACTTTTCATTCAACCCTCGTACTTCAATCCCAGGCAGTTTAGGGGCTTTCCTTCTCTCTGTGCAAACACAAGAAATGCCAACCAAGGCAAATCAAGAAAAATGAAGAAGTTACTTTGGATTCCCCGGGTTTTCACAATGTTTATTTTGAATGACGCAAGGAAAAGTTAGCAATAAAGTTAATTCCCATTTCTCAATATGTTTTTTTGTGCGTGTGGGGCTGCATTGTTGCTGCCACCTTCCTTTAGTCCTGGTGGGTGGGGATGATGGGAGATGTAGTACAGACACAACGGCTTTCTCCATCTTCTATACACACAATAAAAGTGAAAATACGTATGTGTGTGTGTGTGGCTGGGGTGTCCACTTACACAAACCAGCTCCTGCCTCCACAAACACTATAGTTCCCACTTCTCCACAAGGACCACACTGCCCACCACCCAAGGAATACTTTAATTTCATTCTAGATTGTATGTATTTCCTCCACCAAAGACATCCCAGTGTTCCTTTCTCTCTCCATTGGTGTGGAATTTGCATGACTCCGCCCACTGCCTCTCCCTTAAACCTTTCCTATTCTTTTCTATGCCACACAGCAAACAGAGGAATTGATCAACAAGTGAACATACCAGAGAGATTAGGGGAGAATTCAACATGATTTAGAGGAGTTGTAGGTCCTGGGATGTATAGTTCACCTGCAATCAATACTGTACTGATAATTGGCCTGGAATTAACTGGGCACACAGAACCCCCATGACCAACAAAACATACCGAAGGTCTTACGAGGTATTTATAGGAGTTTGGGGAAAATTCACCTTGATTTGTGGGAGTTGTAGTTCACCTACATCCAGAGAGCACTGTGAACCCAAATACCAATGGATCTGGACCAAACTTGGCATGCGTACCCGATATGCCAACAGAGCCCCATGACTAGCAAAAAATACTGGAGGTCTTTGGGGAAAATTCACCTTGATTTGTGGGAGTTGTAGTTCACCTACATTCAGAGTGCACTATGAATCCAAACAATGATGGATCTGGACGAAACTCAGCATACATACTCAATATGCTGACATTTGAATACTGGTGGATTTTGAAGGGAATTGGCCTGGGCATTTTGGAGTTGTAGGTACTGGGATGTATAATTCACCTGCAATCAATGAGCACTCTGAACTCCACCAAAGATGGAGTTGGACTAAACTTGTCACCCAGAGCCCCCATGACTAGGAAAAAGTACTGGAGGTCTTTGCAGAAAATTCACCTTGATTTGGTGGAGTTGTAGTTCACCTACATCTAGCGAGCACTGTGAACCCAAACACCGATGGATCTGGACCAAACTTGGCATGCAGACCTGAATACTGGTGGGCCTGGGCATTTTGGAGTTGTAGGTACTGGGATGTATAGTTCACCTGCAATCAATGAGCACTCTGAATTCCACCAAKGATGGAYTTGGACCKAACTTGSKACARAGAGCCRSTATGACRAGSAAAAKATACTGGAGGTCTTTGGGGGAAATTKACCTTGATTTGTGGGAGTTGTAGTTCACCWACATCCAGAGAGCACTGTGAATTCAAACAAYGATGGATCTGYACCAAACTTGGAATGCAGACCCYATATGCTGACATTTGAATACTGGTGGGCCTGGGCATTTTGGAGTTGTAGGTACTGGGATGTATAGTTCACCTGCAATCAATGAATTGATCTTCCTTTTTGGGAGTTGTAGTTCACCCACAACCAGAGAAACATCCTCAGCCAATATACATTTTCAGACTCACATCAGAATGACATACAAGAGATTGTGAAAACATCTCTAATCGAAACACCTTTTGAGTTCGTCCCAGACTGGATCAAAGAAGAAATTCAAAGATTAATCAGAAATATTTGAGAAAAAAATGCGGAAACAAATAAGAAATAGGCATTGCCGGAGAACTTCAGAGTCTTGCGTTGTGCTGAGCTCTTGACACACGAAGAGAAAATTCCTTTCACAGGAATAGGAATCTCCGAAATTGAGTTTCGATCCACTTCTTTGGAATCACAATACACAAGGTGACAATGATTGACGTTGTTCAAAACTAAACACACATAGGGTTGCTGTCAAAAGATATTTAGCTGCCTGCACTCCTATTTTTATTGGTTTTATACTAATTTATGCAATACTTTTGATATGAAATAAACGAATAAGGTTGCTGTGAGCTTTCCGGGATGTCTGGCCATGCTCCAGTAGCATTCTCTCCTGACGTTTCGCCCACATCTATGGCAGGCACCCTCAGAGGTTGTGAGTTCTGTTGGAAACTAAGTGGAGGAGTCCCCGGTGGTGCAGTGGGCTAAAACACTGAGCTGTGGAACTTGTTTCAGGTTCGAATCCAGGGAGCAGGGTGAGCTTCCATTGTCAGCCCCAGCTTCTGCCAACCTAGCAGTTCAAAAAAAATGCAAATGTGAGTAGATCAATGAGTACTGCTCCGGCAGGAAAGTAAGGGCGTTCCATGCAGTCAGGCTGGCCACATGACCTTGGAGGTGTCTACGGACAACGCCAGCTCTTCGGCTTAGAAATGGAGATGAGCACCAGAGTCCCAGAGTCGGACACGACTGGACTAATTGTCAAGGGAAAACCTAAGTAAGTGGGGTTTATGTATCTGTAGAATGTCCAGGGTGGGGGAAAGGACTTTTGTCTACTAGAGGAACGTGTGAATGTTGCAATTTTCCAATGGAGATGATGAGAGCAGTCACCACTGTGTCTCTAAGAGCCGCCAAGAAAAAGTTCTAATTCGAAAGACTGTCATAATAATATTGGGAGCCGAGCTCCATCTGCTGGCCCTCTTGGTGAATAGTTCTCGAAGGACTTTACCCCAAAATACATGGAAAATAAGTCTATTTATTTAACAGTGTAGGCCCCATCTCAAGGATGGAGATGGTGGTCAGAACATGGTCCAAAGCTGCCTTGAGTTTCAATTGGGGAGAAAGGTAGGATGGAAATGAAATGATCACACCAGTAAATAAAGATGAGAGTTGAATAAAAAGTAATGCCTCCACCTTCGTTACTTGGGTTTGGATGGGAATATTTTAATAAATCAAATGTGTAAATAATCCTTAGAATATGCTCTTTAACTACTAGTAGTCACTTTTCCACATAATCACCAGACAATCGGATACGTTTCTGCCAACGATGAACAAGTTTTCTGAAGCCGTCACGGAAGAAGTCGACACTTTGTTTCTGCAACCAGCGTCAGCATCCTGGATACCCATCATGCACAGATCTTCCGATAGCCAAGCAAAGCAATAATGTGACCCACTAGTCACTTTTCCACATAACCACCTGACAATCGGATACATTTCTGCCAACGATGAACAAGTTTTCTGAAGCCGTCGGAAGAAGTCGACACTCTGTTTCTGCAACCAGCATCTCACAGTTCTCTCAAAGTCTTCATCACAAGCATAATGATGTCCCTGCAGATCTTCTTTAATTATTGGAAACAGATGGAAGTCTGACTGTGCTAAATCTGGACTGAATGGAGGATGTCGTACGGTAGTGAGATCCAGTCTCTGAAGTTTCAAGTCTATGTGCTTTCGTTTCAGGTGTCAGCATCCTGGGTACCCATCATACACAGATCTTCCAATAGCCAAATAAAGCAATAATATGACCCACACATAATCACCAGACCATTAGATACATTTCTGCCAACAATGAACAAGTTTTCTGAAGCCGTCGCGGAAGAAGTCGACACTCTGTTTCCACAACCAGTATCTCACAGTTCTCTCAACATCTTCATCAGAAGCATAATGATGTCCCCACAGATCTTCTTTTGTTATTGGGAGCAGATGGAAGTCAGATGGTGCTAAATCTGGACTTATGGAGGATGTCGTTCGGTGGTGCGATCCAGTCTCTGAAGTTTCAAGTCTGTGCGCTTTCATTTCAGGTGTCAGCATCCTGGGTACCCATCGTGCACAGATCTTCCAATAGCCAAGCAATAATGTGACACACATATAATCACCAGACAATTGGATACATTTCTTCCAACGATGAACAAGTTTTCTGAAGTTGTCACGGAATAAGTCGACACTTTGTTTCTGCAACAAGCGTCTCACAGTTTTCTCATCCTGGGTACCCAGTGTGCACAGATCTTCCGATAGCCAAGCAAAGTAATAATGTGACCTTCACATAATCACCAGACAACTGGATACATTTCTGCCAACAATAAACAAGTTTTCTGAAGCCGTCACAGAAGAAGTCAACACTCTGTTTCCGCAACCAGCGTCTCACAGTTCTCTCAACGTCTTCATAATAAGCATAATGATGTCCCCGCAGATCCTCTTTCGTTATCGGGAACAGATGGAAGTCAGACGGTGCTAAATCTGGACGGTATGGAAGATGTTGTACGGTGGTGAGATTCAGTCTTTGAAGGTTCAAGTCTGTGTGCTTTCATTTCAGGTATCAGCATCCTGGGTACCCAACGTGCACAGATTTTCCGATAGCCAAGCAAAGCAATAATGTGACCCACACGGTCTTGTGAAATGCCGATTACGCTTGAAATTTCTCTCTGTGTGATACAACGATTGTCCTGAATCAATCTGCCAACCTTTTGCTTGTGAAACTCCGTGGTTGCTGTCACAGGACGTTCAATTATTTGTTTGTCACGCAAGTCAGATGTTCCCATCTCAACATCTTTAAATTGACTCGCCCAATGACGCACAGTATTCACATCCACACAATCACCATAAACAGCTTGCATTCTCTGATAAATCTTCTTTGGGGTGACACCTTCTGCTGTCAAGAATTCAATGACTGCACGTTGCTTAAGTCGCATTGAGCGACTGTCTGCTCAGGGTCCCATACGTCACACTTTAACAACACAATCATTCAATGCTAAGGCTTTCCACCAAAATGGAACTGTAGAGGAGAGTCTACTGAACAAGCCAGTACCTGCCGCATACCAGTACTGCCATTTCAAGCATAATCGGCATTTCACAAGACCGTGTGGGTAACACTATTGCTTTGCTTGGCTATCGGAGTTACAAAGGTGGAGGCATTACTTTTCATTCAACCCTCGTATTTGTTCCTTATTGGTCCTTCTGCTATACACAAATGCCCCATCTCTGTCTTTTCTTCCTCTTTTTCTAGGAGAAGTTTTCCATGTATGATGGATCAATCCATAAAGACTCCATGGATGATTGAGAGATCCATTAGAACTCCACCAATGGTTCTTCTCCTTGGAGTTCATATTTGAAATGTTCCAAAAGGCCGGGTCTTTTGTTTGGAGAGCTCTTTCCTTCCATACTTTATGCAAGCCAATGCAGTCTACCTGTCCAAGTGCAAGTCATTGGAGCCAAGACTTGGAAAGAAGTCTTTGAGAAGAAAGTTAGGTTCCTCCACGGTTGGTTGGGGTCAAGAGAGAAATATGCCCTTTTCCCTTCTGGATGGCTTCATAGGAACATCCAAAGTGATGCAAATTTGGCACATAGTCTGCTTCAGTCCCAGCGATGAAAGATGAGGAGGTGGGACTCATGGTTGGTAAATCCCACTTTGCCAGTTTCTGTTGGGAAACAGAATTATTACAATTAATTAATTAATTAATAATAATAATAATAATAATATATTTATATTCTGCCCTATCTCCTGATGGGACTCTGAGTAGATTACAGCGTATACAAACACAAACACAGGCAAACATTCAATGTCTTGATACAACGAAACAGAAATACACAGACAAAGGCAAAGGCTTCCCCTTTCATCTCCGGCTTCTGGAGGCGGTACTCATCTCTGGCTCTAGGGAAGGTGCTCATTTCCATTTCCAAGCCAAGGAGCCTGCACCATCCATAGATACCTCATTGTCGTGTGGCTGGTATGACTGCATGGAGTGCTTGTTTGCCTTCCCGCAGAAGCGCTACCTATTGATCTACTCATATTTGCATGTTTTCGAACTGCTAGGTTGCTACTGGACCCCCTGGTTGTGCAGCGGATTAAACTGTTGAGCTGTTGAACTTGCTGACCAAAAGATAGGTGGTTTGAATCCAGGGAGCAGGGTGAGCTCACACCGTTAGCCCCAGCTTCTGCTAACATAGCAGTTCGAAAACATGCAAATGTGAGTAGGTCAATAGGTACCGCTCCGGCAGGAAGGTAACAGCACTCTATGCAGTCATGCAGGCCACATGACCTTGGAGGTGTCTACAGAGTGTTGCAGTTACTTTGAATTCTTCATGCCATGGAAATCTAATGTTTTGCCTCTCCTCCCTAGATATCATCACCTGGCAGGTCCAAAGCCCTCCTCTACTCATATTTGCATGTTTTCGAACTGCTAGGTTGCTACTGGTGCAGCAGGTTAAACCGCTAAGCTGCTGAATTTGCTGACCAAAAGGTTGGCGGTTTGAATCCGGGGAGCAGGGTGACCTCCCTCTGTTAGCCCCAGCTCCTGCCAACCTAGCAGTTTGTGCGTAGATCAACAGGTACTGCTTTGATGGGAACGTAACGGCACTCCATGCAATCATGCTGACCACATGACCTTGGAGGTGTCTACGGACAACACCAGCTCTTCGGCTTAGAAATGGAGATGAGCACCAACTCCCAGAGTTGGACATGACTAGACTTAATGTCAGGGGAAAACCTTTACCTTTACTTAGCATCATAATGAGCTGAAGGTGAAAATTTGATTTATTTATCGTGTCAGAAGCGAATTGAGAATATCAATTTATCATATCAGGGGGAACATTTACCTTTACCTAGGTTGGCAGGAGCTGGGGCTAACAGCGGGAGCTCACCCCGTCCCATGGATTCAAACTGCCAACCTTCAGGTCAGCAAGTTCAGCAGCTCAACGGTTTAACCCATTGCAGTCAATGTGCTAAATAAGGAATTTAGCCTAGGTGGTAGTTTGTAATTGGATAACTTTTGCTGCAGTGCCAAAGGGTCTTGTCTATGGGTTGTTGTAGGTTTTTTCGGGCTATATGGCCATGGTCTAGAGGCATTCTCTCCTGACGTTTCGCCTGCATCTATGGCAAGCATCCTCAAAGGTAGTGAGGTCTGTTGGAACTAGGAAAAAGGGTTTATATATCTGTGGAATGACCAGGGTGGGACAAAGGACTCTTGTCTGCTGGAGCTAGGTGTGGATGTTTCAACTGACCACCTTGATTAGCATTGGATGGCCTGACAGTGCTTAGAGCAAACGTTTGTTGAGAGGTGATTAGATGTCCTTGTTTGTTTCCTCTCTGTTGTTGTGCTGTTGTAATTTTAGAGTGTTTTAATACTGGTAGCCAATATTAGGTCTTGTCTATATAATGTGTGTCTGAGAGACACTGGGCGCAGCAGCCTCTTGAAAGTACCAAGACCTGCGTGTTTGGTATGGCTGACCGTCTCATGATCATGACAAATAAATCTTGCTTTTGTGCTTCTCCTGAGGCTGGGTGTTTGTCTTTCTGCCTCCTGCGACCGGACCCAATTGGGGTCCGGTCCCCAACAGAGGAAGTGATGGGGGTCCCCAACATTGGGGGTCCCCAACAGAGGAAGTGTGAATCTGGTCACATTTCAACCTCCCCCGTGTCCCACTGTTCTTACCAGGGGTCTATGTGACATCCTCTGTCGGCGTGTCTGGGCTCTTTTGGATCTGGTCATAAATGGTGGTCAGGAGCCGTTCCTTTTGGGGGCTTTTCTCCACGTTACTTTCCTGGAGACCTAGGGGCTGAAAAGAAAGAAGTGAGCTAGGGAGGAAGAGATGCAAAAAGTTGGGGAAGGTTTCACGTTCTGCATGGTGGATTAATGAGGCTATCAGTCTCACTGGGATTCTTGATTAGCATTGAATTGTGTGGCAGCACTAACAAAGGATTCCCCCAGGCAGACCTTGAAACTGCATTCTCACAGTTATAATAATAATAATAATAATAATAATAATAATAATAATAATAATAATAAGGATTTAAAGATCGTACTGCAAAGACTCTGGCACAAGCCAGTCAAGCTAGTTCCTGTGGTGATCAGCACACTGGGTGCAGTGCCTAAAGACCTTGGCCTGCACTTAAACACAATCGGCACTGACAAAATTACCACCTTTCAGCTGCAGAAGGATCTACACGCATTATTCGCCGATACATCACACAGTCCTAGACACTTGGGAAGTGTCCGACGTGTGATCCAATACAAAAGTCAGCATAGTGATCTTGTTCGCTGTGAACTTATCTTGTTGTGTTTCAAACAACAACAACAACAAGGTGTGAACCAGAAACACAAGGCTCCCTGCTCAGACTACACAGAGAAGCCACTGAAATCCAAAAGCTTGTGGACAATGTCAACAAAAATAAGGAAACCATGAAAATGAACAAAATCTGGTGACTAGTATTTTAAAAAACCTAAAATCAGGACAGTAAATAAAAAGCAACCTTCAAAAAATGGGAATTCCAGATAAGAAACAATAGTGGCCAGCTAACACCCCAAACAGCCATAATCTAGAGCCGAGGCCCACCTTGGAGGCCTCTGGGCCGTCTCACCTTATTGTTACCTTCTGGGGGGCTCCTCCGGAGAATCTCCGCATACTGGGGGTCTGTGGGACTCTCCTCCACTTGGACGGTTGGGATGGTGCCTGAGGACAGAAGAACAGGAATGAGAGCTTGTGGTGCTCATTTCCATTTCTAAGCCGAAGAGCCGGCATTGTTCATAGACACATCCAAGGTCATATGGCCGGCATGATTGCATGGAGCGCCGTTACCTTCCTGCCAGAGCGGTACCTATTGATCTACTTGGCAGAAGCTGGGGCTAAGAGTGGGAGCTCACCCCACTCTCCAGAAGCTGGGGCTAAGAGCGGGAGCTCACCCCGCTCCCCAGATTTGAACCGGCAACCTTTTGGTCACCAAGTTTAGCAGTGCAGTGGTTTAACCCACTGCACCACCAGGGGCGGCTCAATAATAATAATAATAATAATAATAATAATAATAATAATAATAATAACAACAACTCATTAAAATAAAGTTACTACTTAATTCAACGTTTGACTGTGATGCACAGATATCTAAACAGAGAGAAAAGGATTGCAAAACCAAACATTGTGCCGAAAAGAAGACTCAGTGACAGTTGTAAAGCGACAATAAAGGCATCGAGTATCTCTCCCTGGACCGTTGTGTTACCTATTACGATACAAAGCCTGATGTAATTATGGTCTTAAGGGCGTTGGGCTCACCTGCCTCCGCCGACTTCTCATTGTTGATCCGCCAGCACCAAAACGCCGCCCCGAGACTTAGCACTAAGAGGATGAAAGTCAGCACGACGTAGCCGGACTTAGAGAAGGAGGCCTCGGCTGTTGGGATTGGAAAACGCAGGGTGAGAGATTAGGGACGGAAAGAATATCTATTGTGCATGCAAAATCTAGAAATCACTGTTCTTTGGAGAGAATTTAAAAGGTGTGGAGACTGGGATTTGGAGGGAGGGACTTCCTGATGAAGACATGAGTCTCGGGTGGAGACTGCAGAAGACCCTTTGGCCTAACAGAAGACCTACTCTGGAAAATGGGTGGAACACTTTTTGGACTCTCATTCCATCTATCCATCTATCATACTATCCACCTATCCAACTATTCATCTGTTCTAATATCTTACTATCCATTTATCCATCTATCTTACTATCAATCTATCCAACTATCCATATATCCTACTATTCATCTATCATACTACCCATCTATCCAACTATTCATCTGTTCTAATATCCTATTATCCATCTATCAAACTATCCATCTATTCTACTATCCTACTATCCATGTACCCATCTATCCATCTATCATACTATCCTACTATCCATCTGTTCTATCCTACTATCCATCTATCCAACTATCTATCTGTGAACCTATGCATCTATCCATCTATCATACTATCCATCTATCCATCTCTCCTGCTATCCATCTATCCAACTATCCATCTATCCTATCATACTATCCTACTATCCATCTATCCAACTAACCATCTATTCTACTATACTACCAGCCATCTATCCTTCTATCATACTATCCTTCTATCCAACTAACTATCTATTCTACTATCCTATTATCCATCTATCCAACTATCCATCTATTCTACAATCCTACTATTCATCTATCCAACTATCCATCTATTCTACTATCCTACATATCCATCTATCCAACTATCCAACTGTCCATCTATCCAACGATCCATCTATTCTACTATCCTACTATTCATCTATCCAACTATCCATCTATTCTACTATCCTACATATCCATCTATCCAGCTATCCATCTATCCAACTATCCATCTATCCAACTATCCATCTATTCTATTATCCTACTATCCATCTAACCAACTATCCATCTATTCTACTATCCATCTAAGTATCCATCTATCCAACTATCCTACTATCCATTTAACCAACTCTCCATCTATCCAACTATCCTACTATCCATCTATCCAACTATCCATCTATCCTACTATCCATCTATCCAACTATCCTACTATCCATCTAACCAACTGTCCATCTGTCCAACTATCCTACTATCCATCTATCCAACTATCCATCTATTCTACTATCCATCTGTCCAACTATCCATCTATTCTACTATCCTACTATCCTACTATCCATCTATCCATCTATTCTACTATCCATCTATCCAACTGTCCATCTATTCTACTATCCTACTATCCATCTATCCAACTATCCATCTATTCTACTATCCTACTATCCATCTATCCAACCATCCATCTATTCTACTATCTTTCTATCCATCTATCCAATTATCCATCTTTTCTACCACCCTACTATCCATCTAGCCATCTATCATACTATATCCATTATTTCTCTTGACTCCTCCTTGAACCATATCTGCCAGGATTCCATAGGTTGCAGCCCTGGTCATTCAAATACAACCATGGTGCTATAATTGTGTGATATGAAAGGGACTTGTCAATCTGCCAATGCAATGTATGTGGCTGTGGCAACCTCAGAGCCAAATGTGACCTAGAAGAAGACAGCAACCAGTGATGGGTCAAAACTAGGAGATGTTCTCCCTCTTACCTCCGCTCTGGCAGATCCGTTGCAGGTCGAAGGAGACAATCTTGTGCTCAATGGGGTTGCTGGCCAGGCAGGAGTAGGTGGTGTTGAGGGAGGCCGGGAGCAGCGAGAGGCGGAGGGTCCTGCCGTCGGGGGAGATCTGGTACCGGTCGGAGGCCCCCAGGTCCCGGATGGGGTTGCCTTTCCTCCAGGTGATGTTGACGGGGCCTTTGCTGGGAGACAGACACTGCAGGGTGACGTTACACCATTTTGGGGTGCTGGAGACCAGTTGGCTCTGGATCCGGGGGGTTGAAACCGGTTCTGTCCAAACCAAGAGCAAGAAGCAAAGCTTGAAAGCTGTCCATGAGAAAGGGATCGAGGAATCTTAGTTGAACATGAGCCAAGAATGGGATGTGGCAGCGAAAAAGGCCAATGCAATTCTAAGCTGTACCAGGAGTCTAATGTTAAGATGGAAGAAAGTCATAGTCCCATCATTTCCTGCTTTGGTCAGGTCAAACCCATTCTGCAATATGGGAAGGCACAATTAGAACCCTCCCAACAGATAGCCATCCAGCCTCTGCTCAAAAACCTCAATTGGACTCCAAAGATACATAGACACTGTCGAACAGCAAAGAGTTATTTCTAATTTTGAAGTGGAATCTGCTTACCTGCACTTTGAATCCATTGCTCTACTGTGTTCAAGGATAGACTACTGCAATGCACTCTACATTGGATTGCCCTTGAAGACTGTTGGGAAGCTTCAAGTGGTCCAATGGGCAGCAGCCAGATTTCTAACTGAGGTAGCATACAGGGAACATACAACTCCCTTGTTACGTTAGCTCCATTGGCTGCCAGTCTGCTACCGAGCCCAATTCAAAGTGCTGGCTTTAACCTATAAAGTCCTAAACGGTTCCGGCCCAGCTTACCTGTCCAAACGTATCTCCTTCTATGATCCACCTCAGAGATTAAGATCTTCTGAGGAGGCCCTGCTCTCGGTCCCACCTTCCTTACAAATGCGACTGATGGGGACAAGAGACAGGGCCTTCTCAATGGTGTCCCCTTATAAAGAACTCCTTACTTTAAGCAGCTAGAATGTGGGCCTGGGGAAGCCCTAGTGGCCATCTTAGGATAGGGAAACAAGGAGATGCCATCTTAGTTAAGGGTTTTCTAGAGGGGGCAGAGATTAGACAGCCAGGATTGGTTAGAAAATAGGGGCGGAGCCTAGCATTCAAAAAGGAAAAAAATGTACCTTTTGAACTGAGGCTTGGGTTAGCAGTTGGAAATTGTCCATTGTGAGTTTGTCAGTTGGTGATAACGGTTGGTGTTAGATAGGAGAGCTGGGTTAATCTTTTGTGGTATTCAAGAGCTAGAGAAATTAGCTAGGAATACAGATGGTAGAACAGGACCTTATTTGTGGTCTGTTCTTTGTCCTTGAGGAAGGCTAGGCCAAAGGCTATTGGCTAGGTTCCAGAAAGAGGGAATTTTTGTTTGGAATTATTATCAGCGATTAATTTCCTGAGATAATCTCCTTTTTTGTTAACGTCAAGATTTGAACCCAGAACCCATCTAAGAATTGTACATCAAACGTAACCAGAAGCTTATGTACTGGTAACTTACTGAAACCACTACACATTTGTACCAGAAGAAGTTTAAGCTTGTTAAATAAACATTTTATTATTGTTAACACTTTATAACAGCCACAGTGTGAACCTCATTGTGATTTAAACCCTCTAAAGAAAACAAACACTATTGTAACACAAAAGGGTGTTACTAAGTATACTCTCCACATACAACTCAGGCCGATGACCAAACAAAAAAGTGGCAGCGAAAACAATTGAAGAAACAATTTCAAAACCTCCGGTCAAAATATATCAAGTTGTCTCTTTCGTGTTTTAAAAATCCCCCTGCACCTATATATAATTTGGTTAGCAACTTCTGGAATTCACTATTTTAAAATCCCCTGTTCCTTTCCCTGCTAAGTTCCTTATAATTAATGGTAATCGGCTGAGGATGCTTGCCATAGATGCAGGCGAAATGTCAGGAGAGAATGCTTCTAGAATATGGCCATACAGCCCGGAAAACTCACAGCAACCCAAGACTGTAATTATTACAAATGGTGCTGGCATGGCAGTGCCTGGAGATTTGAATTTCTTTTTCTTGCACTGCTAGTTTGTATGAATTTATTTAAGTCATGCTTTTTGCAATCGTGTAGCCTCCCCAGGTTGCAGTCATAGGGACAGCCACCTGTCTATCATCATTAGAGTCTTTAGACCCTCCCTTTTTCCCAGGGTTTTGGAGGCAAAGGAGGACCTTTGTTCAGTCTCACTGTTTGAAGCCTAACAGCAGGATGTGTGGGATTCTCTTTCCCACCCGCACAAAAACTTCACTTCTCACATTTCTGCTGGGGGAGTAAAAGGATAGTTCCACAGCTTTTGCTGGGGGAATACAGCCCGCCTTTGCTGGGGCAACAGGACAGTTCCTACAGCCTTTGTGGAGTAAACTAAAGGACACCTTTCAGCTTGGCAGATCTACAGCAACAATTGTCTGGTAAGGGACAACTCGGGCTATCCAACTCGGGAGTAGCAAGGTAAAGAAAGATTGCCCAGAGAGGGGTCAGAAGATTTCCCTAAGGAAGAAAGGAACAGTTTACCACTAGTTGCCTGCCCTTGATAGCAGATTGAGGAAGCTACCGGTTTTCCAAGGTTATAAAGCATTTAACTCATTTGTTTGAAGATTTAAGCCCAAATAAAGAACTTTGTTGAACTTATGTTGAGCCTCAATAGAACTTTGTGTTGGGAAATCTAAGGGGCCCTTCAGCTGAGGCACCCCGGCGTCCCGTTGGGCATACAGAAGGCACATCCTGTAAACAGACATTATTACAGGCCCGGTGTGCGACAGCACACAAATAGTGGAAGGCCAACTGATCTCCAAAAAGGGTCACACTTCCAAAAGGCTATGGAGATTCTGGTTTTCCAAAAGGATATGCATTTCCAAAATAGAGTGGGACTGTGACTTCCTTCCATTTAGACCAGTGGTTCTCAACCTGGGGGTTGGGACCCCTGGGGGGTCGCGAGAGGGTGTCTGAGGGTCACCAAAGAACATCAGAAAACACAGTATTTTCTATTGGTCATCTGGGTTACATGTGGAAAGTTAGGTCCAATTCTGTTGTTGGTGGGGTTCAGAATGCTCTTTGATTGTAGGTGAACTATAAATCCCAGCAACTACAACTCCCAAATGTTAAGGTTTATTTTCCCCTAACTCCACCAGTGATCACATTTGGGCATATTGAGTATTTGTGCCAAGTTTGGTCCTGATTCATAATTGTTTGAGTCCACAGTGCTCTCTGGATGTAGGTGAACTACAACTCCAAAACTCAAGGTCAGTGCCTACCAAACCCTTCCAGTATTTTCTGTTAGTCATGGGAGTTCTGTGTGCCAAGTTTGGTTCAATTCAATCGTTGGTGGAGTTCTGAATGCTCTTTGATTGTAGGTGAACTATAAATCCCAGCAAGTACAACTCCCAAATGCCAAGGTCTATTTCCCCCAATCTCCACTAGTGTTCACATTTGGGCATATTGAGTATTTGTGCCAAGTTGGGTCCAAATGCACAGTCGTTTGGGTTCACAGTGCTCTCTGTATGTAGGTGAACTACTTCTCCCGTAAATCATTGTCAATTCCTCCCAGCCCCCATCCAGTATTTCCTGTTGGTCATTGGGGCTCTGTGTGCCAAGTTTGTTCCAGGTCTATAATTTGTGGAGGTCTCAATGGTCTGTGGAAGTCAGAGCTGAATCGGTTGAAGGTACTGCAAATCCCATCCTCCATTGTCCATACTCCCTGAGCATATTGTTTTTGTGAGCAATCACTGTGCTTTAATCATGTTAAATCTGTAACGATGAAAATACGCCTGCATATTAGATATTCCCATTATGCATCATAAGAGTAGCAAAATTACTATTATGAAGTAGCAACGAAAATATGGTTGGGGGTCACCACAACATGAGGAACTGCATTGGCCTTTTTTGCTGCTGCATCACACTGTTGGCTCATTCCCTTTCCCCCATATTTCTAAACAAAGACTCACCGTAGACCGCAAGTTGGAAAATCTGGTCTTCCACAATGGCCGGAAGCAACTTGATCCGGGCCCCAAAGATACCACTGTCGTTCACCTCCAAGGCCCGGATCCTCAGGGTCTCGTTGAACATGTCCACCCGCTGCTTGAACCTGTCGCCGGGATCGGGCCGCTCGAATTTCCCATCCCGAAAGACGGCTACCAAGAGGGCAGGTCCGGGTCCAGCTCGGTAGCTCCACTCGATCTCCCTGACTTTGGCCCGGGGTGCAAGACTTACCGAGAGGACGGCTGAACCCCCTAGGACCGCATTCACTCGTCGAGGAGGGCTTTGGACCTGCCCGGCGATGATATCTAGGGAGGAGAGGCAAAACATTAGATTTCTTTGGCATGAAGAAGGCAAAGTACCTGCAACACTCCATAGACACCTCCTGGTTGATTGGCTGGCATGACTGCATGGAGTGCTTGTTTGCCTTCCCGGAGTGGTTGTTTACCTTCCTATTGATCTACTCATATTTGCGTGTTTTCGAACTGCTAGGTTGGCGGGAGCTGGGGCTAACAGTGGGAGCTCACCCTGCTCCCTGGATTCGAAGTACCGATCTTTCGGTCAGCAAGTTCAACAGCTCTGCAGTTTAATCCGCTGCACTACCAGGGGGCCCAGTAGCAGCCTAGCAGTTCGAAAACTTGCAAATACTCTGGGACTCGGTGCTCATCTCCATTTCTAAGCTGAAGAGCCGGTGTTGTCCGTAGACACTTCCAAGGTCATGTGGCCAGCATGACTGCATGGAGTGCCGTTGCGTTCCCATCAAAGCAGTACCTGTTGATCTATGCACATTTGCATGTTTTCAAACTGCTAGGTTGGCAGAAGCTGGGGCTAACAGCAGGAGCTCACCCTGCTCCCTGGATTTGAACCACTGATCTTTCGGTCAGCAAGTTGACCAGCTCTGCAGTTTAATCCGCTGCACCACCAGGGGGCCCGGTAGCAACCAAGCAGCTCGAAAACATGCAAATATGAGTAGATCAATAGGTACCGCTTCTGTGGGAAGGCAAACAAGCACCCCATGCAGTCATGCCAGCCACACGACCAGGAGGTTTCTATGGACAATGCAGGCTCCTTGGCTTGGAAATGGAAATGAGCCCCTTCCCTAGTGCCAGAGATGAGTCCTGCCTCCAGAAGCCGGAGATGAAAGGGGAAGCCTTTGCCTTTGTCTGTGTATTTCTGTTTCGGTGTATCAAGGCATTGAATGTTTACCTGTGTTTGGATACGCTGTAATCTACTCACATTTGTGTGTTTTTGAACTGCTAGGTTGGCAGAAGCTGGGGTTCACAGGAGGGGCTCACTTCACTCCCTGGATTGGACCACCAACAAGGTCAGCAGCTCAGCTGTTTAACCCGCTGCGCCACCGGGGTTTCCTAGAGTGCATGCATGTGTTCCCTCGCTGTTTCGCAGTTCGCTATTTGCAGACTCGCTGTTTTGCGGTTTTTCAATAAATATTAATATAACACTTCAGAACCGATGATGTTATCATAAAGGGGCACCCAAAGGCCATCTAGTCCAACCCCCTTTGGGGGCTTGTAGTTGCTGGGATGTATAGTTCACCTACAATCAAAGAGTATTCTGAACCCCACCAATGATGGAATTGAACCAAACTTGGCACACAGTTGTCCCATAACCAACAGAAAATACTGGAAGGGTTTGGTGGGCAGTGTCCTTTGGTTTTGGAGTTGTAGTTCACCTACATCCAGAGATCACTGTGGACTCAAACAATGATGGGTCTGGACCAAACTTGGCACGAATACTCATTATGCCCAAATATGAACACTAGTGGAGTTTGGGGAAAATAGAATCTTGACATTTGGGAGTTGTAGTTGCTGGGATTTATAGTTCACCTACAATCACAGAACATTGTGAACCCCACCAACGATAGAATTGGGCCAAACCTCCCAAACAGAACCCCCATGTGGGCCACAGCAACACCGTGGCAGGGGACGGCTAGTATATAATAATAATAATAATAATAATAATAATAATAATAATAATAATAATAATAATAATATTGTGATATGGCCTAAGGGCTAATCAATAAAATTACTTACTACTACTACTACTACTACTACTACTACTAATAATAATAGTTATGTGATGTCGAAGGCTTTCATGGCCAGAATCACTGGGTTGCTGTGAGTTTACCAAGCTGTCTGGCCATGCTCCATAAGCATTCTCTCCTGACATTTCACCCACATCTATGGCAGGCATCCTCAGAAGTTGTGAGGTCTGTTGGAAACTAGGCAAGTGGGCTTTATATATCTGTGGAATGATGTCCAGGGTGGGAGGAAGAACTCAGGCACTCTCCCAGGCAGGAAACAGCCAGGCTTTGAAGCTGCAAGGTCATTCGACTAATCAAGGTGGCCAATTGCAACATTCGCACTTCCCTCCAGCAGACAAGAGTTCTTTCTCCCCATGACTAGCAAAAAAATACTGGAGGTCTGGAGGGATTTAGAAGAGTTGTAGTTCACCTACATCCAGAGCGTACTGTGAAACCAAACAATGATGGATCAGGACCAAACTTGGCATGTATACCCGATATGCCCAAAGTTGAATACTCGTGGGTTTTGAGGGGAATTGGCCTGGACATTTTGGAGTTGTAGGTACTGGGATTTATAGTTCACCTGCAACCAATGACGACTCTGAACTCCACCAAAGATGGAATTGGACCTAAGTTGGCACAGAGAGCCCCCATGACCAGC